TAAATGCATATAAGAGTTATATGTAGTGAGTTTGCATATAGTTAGCAAAAAAATGCGAAAAATATCATTAATGAGTGAAAGCGAGTGTTAAACTTATTTCCATTAATTTAATGTGTTATTGAAATAAAATATGAGACAAAAAAGTAAGAGTAGAGTCGAGACAGTGGTGTGAATGCATTTAGAAATTCAGGATAAATATATGAATTAACACTAAATTCAATTATAACTACATATTCGACAAATGAAATCGATATCACAGTTTGAGAGAAGTCTCTCTCTCTCTCTCACACAAAAGTGCTCAACAATTATTTAAAAAGGTTATTGTTATGAGATATGGAGAAAATTGCATTCATTACATGAATTATGAACAATTGGATTCAATACGAGGACAGATATATTGAATTTCCAATTAAAGGGCAATGAATTGTGGCTATAAATTGAATGCAGAGTATGTTTATTGTTATTTGTTATAAACAACGAGAAAGTCGTCAACAAAAAATCAACGATAAATACAGTCTAACATTCAAAACATATTAAATATTTTTACTCAAAATACACGAACCAATCATTCAATCGCCAGAAAAATTGCAAACATTTTTTCGCTGCAAAAAAGCTCATCTCATTTCAAGTATACGATTATAGTTATGTATATTTGGCTCTAAAATAAGGTTACGTCTGAAGCGACGTTCAGAAGGATAAGGAAGTGTTGGAAGCGTTTCAGTGATAACTATCAGTCTATAAAATATTTGTTAATACATTATAAATATATACAGTATATGACAACAGTATATATATTAGCGAGTGATTAGATTAGAGGCAAAAATATAATATTAGTAGAGAAGCAAAAAAATATATTAAATTTTAATATTCAATAGACTTTACACTCATTTTTAAAACGAAAAACACTGTTAGGATTCATGAGTCTTCTTGACTTGAATTTCATTAATTATATTTCATTTTCCATACAAATGGCAACAAATGTGGCATATTTTGAGGTAAAATAACAAAAAAAAAGGGTTAAAAAGTAATTAGTTTTCATTGAAAGTGAGAAAAACCATTGAGAAAACATTTGCCAATTAAATAATAATAATTATTATGATACTATTATTACTATTATATTATATTTTAGGCAATAAAGAGTTAGGTTTTTATATTTCTCATAATTGATTAGCAAAATGAATGGTATTGTGTTTTCTCTGCTGTCTGTTTGCTGTGAACACAACGAAAACAAAGCCATAGACTGTTGTAATTGAACACAGAGTTTGTATTCAAGACAAACATTGGGTTTCATTCATATCTTATCGTTTTCTCATGGCTTGAGTTAATTTGAGAGAAAGTAATCAAATCATCAAAAATATTATATTTTAAGCATTCAATAGATGTAATAAAAACTACAATAAAGTCCATACATATAGAGTATAATAGATTATATTATGGTAATGGCATATGTTATGTATGTTATGGTAATGTATGTATGGGTGATGACGGGTCGGGTCTATACCTGTCGGACATTGTCCTCGTTGTGGGTCTGGTTTGTGGCCAAATAGATGTGGTCGCGGGTCTGTCCGAAGCGATCGATGAACGTATCACGTGATGAGCCATTCGTTATGTATTGCTTTGAAGAGTCAATTTTGGACATTGAAGAAGACAATGGACTTCACGCTCTCTTCACCACCAGTTGTTTGACTCAATTGTTTGGGTTTTAAATAAATAAATAAATATATTATTCAATGAGACGATCGACGATATGATCGGGACATCAATTGGGGTTTCAATTGTCTTCGACTACTTCTTCAGTGCACTCTTCCGGTCAACACATCTATCAATCAGTTATCAAATATCGGATCCAAACGCAAGTGATTTGTGTCCCAAAGAGAAACAAAGACATCGGATTTGAGACACAGATTAATATTTGAAAAAAACAATTTAATCGCAAAATAAAATCACAACAAAAACACACATAAAAACAACTGAATTATCACTTAATAAATGACTGAATAATAAGTAAAAAATAAACAAAAGACTATTCAAAACACACACAAAATATATTAAATAAATGTTTAAATAAAACTCAATTCAAATAATAATAATAAACAAAATTATAAAATAAATAACTATTTAAAGGGAGTATTGAATGCAATGGCAATGAAGTGGTCTTTAATCGTCACTATCTTTCATACATCAAAATGTTGTCCACTTTTTAGCAAAAATAAAATAATAATTACAGTATTTTTCAGTGCATTTGTATTTCACATTACAAACGCCTATACTATAGACACGATAGGGCTCTAACACTGTGTTATGCTTACAGACAGACCTCTCTATCCTTAATCCCAACAATAATAACAATACATTTTATGCGATTTTTTCTCCAATGCTTTAACATTACGACCCATAGGAGAGAGAGAGAGAGTGCGAGAAACTTAAGCCCACGGCATATATTACGGCCCATATATGTGGCCAATGGGAAGGCATAGGCGAAGCCATTTCTCTCAATGAAAGGGCGGCACAACTCGTGTGCATAAAGTGGACGTAATTTACTCGTGAATCTCGTATTACATGTCATGAGAGAGAGAGAGAGAGAGAAAAGCGAGCAATGAATGGATTCGCGCCTTCGTTCACATCTCTGCCACCGATTCAAACATTAGCGCCGTTTCGCCCGCCGCTCCCATTGGCCCTCAAGAGTGCACTCCGGGGGCGGAGTCTATGGCACTATGTATTCATTGAATGTGTAATGCATTGGCAAAAAAAGTTGATGAGAAATAAAGGGACACTTTTTAATCGACTCGTCAGTAATTAACGAGTTTAGGTACGGGTCGGGCGGTTGGCCGCAGTCCACCACCACATGCCCGGCCACCCAATCGCGTGGTCCGACCCGTGATCCCCACACCCGGCATACCCTATGACCGGTCGTCTAACTCATCAAACAAAGAGCACTTCCTTTTAAATGTCTCGCATAGAGTAGTAGTAAAGGCATTGCATTGTATTGAATGGCATTTGTATAGCGATCGATACCATAGGGTATCGCATAAACATGTAATACACGGCACAACACATACCTGTATTTCCATAATTGACATATAGTTTGGTCACTCATTTACGGCTCCTATAGTGTCCGCATAATCGGCTCCAACACTGGCCTCACAAACACCGTATAATTAAATGTCTTGAATGGTAAACAACACACAAAGCGTCCAAAAGAGTCGAGTCTTTCTCTCTCTCTCTCACTCTCGTAGAGTAGTATTGAGTGGATGTGTATAGCGTTGTATGGGTTGGCCCTAAAACCGGAGCTCAAACTCTCACTCCTATGTATGTGAATGTGAGGCAATATATTGAGAGGCATTCACTGCACAAATATGCGCTCTCTCTCTCTCTCCCTTCCCCTCTCCCCTCACACTCTATGGCACTCTCCGGCACAGGCAGGCAGAGGACCATTTGGGGTCGTGTAGCCTATGCTGTATATACGTGTTCATACCATCTATACACGCATTTTTATATATCTATGTCTATTGATGTATAATCAAAATGCCTTTATAGATGTAGGTCTCACCGATTGGGCCAACCATTGCAACCCCCCATCCCTGACACCCAAACCCATGCAAACCGAGTCCCCATCCCCTCTCTCTTTCTCCTCTGCCATTCCTATGGCATCGATAAATGCATGCCTTATATCGAAGTCATTGTTTAATGGAAACACCGAATAGTATTTAAATGTTAATTAAGTCACATAACGGATGTGTTCGTCATTAAACACAATCACATACCTGTGCGCCCATACCTGTCATACATTCACATACATAGACACCGCACATAAGCCGACGATCATCTCATTTAATGCACACATAATATGATTTGTCGTAGAATTAAAACAATAATAGCTTTTGTGTGTAAAATATGTTTGAATGCAATTCTGTGCCATTCCTTTGGTGTAGTATTTTTAGCGATGATTTCCAAACACAACGAGTGCTTAATTCACAGCCGAAACGCTTCACTAAACCCTTCACTGGCTTTTCATTAGCGAAAAGCGAATATAAATAATATGCAAAAAAATGGGAATAAAAATAATTTCATAATTTTCATCACGAAATACATCCGATAGAAAGCGAAAACATGAATACATCCCGTCGTACAGGACTTATGGCACAAACATTAACATTACATTAATTAATGTTTAATACTCTTGTAATCATGCGTTTCAAACAAATTGTATTGTTTTTTTAACGTAAAATCGCTTGTATTTTATACATATTTTTTTATTCATTAATTTTTTCGTCTCCAACACTCATTACAACACGAATTCAATGAATTAAAACCTATAATAGAGTTTCAGTACAACTGAACCGTCAGATGAAACTCAAAATAAAGAGTAAAATAATCTATTGTTTTATCAATTAATTTATGCAAAAACAACAAAATGTATTGCATTTGAAAACAAGTCTATAAAGAAAAGCCTATGTTTTGAGATATAAACACAAAATTCGCCTAAAATTATATAACAATACGATTTGACTAAATTTGTTAGCAATAAAGGACTGAAACCATAGACTCAGTCACTCGGCGTTGTGTCCGCTCAAGAATTTGGACATAAAGTCTTTGGGCCGCGGATTGTGGCTCTCTTTGAAGTACGCCATGACGTGTGTGTGTTGTTTGTATCGATTGATCGTCTCATTCAACTCCATCTGGCCTTTGATGACCAACATATCGATCACACGGATGTCCTCAACGTGTTTGTTGTCGAAGAATAATTGCTTCACTTTATCCCTCAGCTGTTTCTCACTCACCGGTAGCTCTAAGTCGAGCTTAATGTACGGTATCTGTCGATACCACGCCTTATACAAGTTCTTCACCCGTCTTCGGGCGTCCACTGAGTCCACACTGAGGATGGGCTTCACGTGACGGACCGCTCCCGACACCACACTAAGTCGAGCTTAATGTACGGTATCTGTCGATACCACGCCTTATACAAGTTCTTCACCCGTCTTCGGGCGTCCACTGAGTCCACACTGAGGATGGGCTTCACGTGACGGACCGCTCCCGACACCACTCGTCCCGTCGTCGACGCCATCAGTGCTTCACTTCTGCCATAAATGGGTTCAAAACATACGTTACAAACGCTGTACACAAACGCATCCATTAATACAAACCTATTGTTGTGTTTCAGTCAATGAATTGAACAGATTTTGGACACAAAATGCGGACAAAAATAAATTTAAAGTCAAATATTTTTGTGAACCATTTTTTCTCAGATCACGTGTTTCTATGGGTTTGTTTACAACTGGTCTGCCATTCGTTACACACATTACACGTGAAGCCAAACGTCAAAAACTGCGGACGCATTAAAAACGTCTGCATTTGAGCGCAAGTCTAGTGTTTGGGAAACGAGTGTTGGCTTCGAGTGAGTCGTCAATAATGTGTTCTCAAAAGGTTTGCGTTATTTCTGGAATCGCTTCAAACTTTTGGCGCAAACTGACTGTCAGACACTGGCGTACAGTCTCATTGGAAAACCTGTTCGCAATCAACGCATTGCTTACGCCGTGTTTATGAATGAATTGCTCCACAAATACCGCAAATTTGTTGGTTTCCCTCCAAAACCATTCACTTTGTGTTTCTCTCTCTTTGAAAAAACTTTAACACTTTTATTGTGTTTTAAAAGTGAAGACATTTTTAAAAGCCATCGCTTTTGTTGTCAATTGTTTTGCCAAACATTTTTACGGATCAAACCAGTGGTGACCACTCCTCCAGACGCTGCCGAAGACAATGGCCGACATTGAGTTAGACCAGCGCTTGCGTGACATTCAGGCCGAGTATCTCGACTTCTTCGACGATGACGTGAGTTAACCATTGATTGAGACAATTAAGCCGTGATTTATACCATTGAACTGATCCCATATGTGAT